CTGCCCCCTGCGCCGGCCGAGGCGTAGCTGGCAAGCGGCAGAGACGGAGCAGGCCGACCACCAGCTGGCCCAGCTCAAGGGAGGTAAGGCACCCGCCGGAAAAGGGGAAAAAAATGGCGGACAGCCTTGCTTGGCGACCCCCGTGAAATGGTCGATCGACCCCAAATGGGGTCGCGACCCATAGGTTGAGAACCGCTGTCTTAGGAACACATGTTTATTTCCCCAAAATATAAGAAAATTAAAAAGTGCTAAGCCAACTCTGATACTTGCCAGCTCTGGTACTTGCCGTCATTCCCCTGTAATAGCAGATAAGTCTAATGGACTGTGTGCTCTGTATAACGTCAGCCCTGTGAGAAGTTAAAAGGTGACCTTAAGACCCCGTGTTCTGTTTATGGGCAGGGCTGTTTTTGGTGCTGCTGATAGATCAATTCTACAAGTCATACTAAAGTAGGAACCTAATTAGGTGGCATTAGGGTCCACCCGATACCTGGAAAAGATCCTTGATTTAAACTTTGGTAATTGTTTGGAATGAAACTCAAGGAAATCACCCTCTCAGAAGGTGTTGTTGGAACAGACAAACATGTTCAGTACTTCTGAATCGGAATAGTGTGGTCTCCTCTAGCAATAGAGGAGAAGCAGCCCTATTGATTGAAGGTATCAACATGGAAGATTTCCCTATATCTTATTTAACACATCATTTCTAGATGGGTCATATCCACTATCTTGTGGCCAAGTCAACATTTGATCGGATACTTTTTCTTCTCGAAACTATTGACTTCAGAATTCTGCCTCTTGCAAAACACAGAAAAACTTTTGAGAAGCAGTTGCAAATAATCCTGGAGTATTACTTTTTTTTGGCAATTTCACCCTTCTACCCCCTGGTCTTCTAACTAGTTTTTAAATGCCCACCAAGTCCTTTAATAGTGATGAAACAGAGTTATACACATTTGTCTTGGAAATGTCATTATCTGTTTGAAATTACCGGATTATGATTGCCGCTGGTAATCTAATTATCCAGATAATTTGTGCACTTTGCCAATGAAAACTGGCTGTTCCAGTTATTGCTACGCATACTCTGTATAGCGTTGATTTTCTGTTCCACCTACAGGGTTGTTCGTGGTCTGTCATCTTCGTAGACCTTGATGCTCATAATCGGAACCGGCAAACCCTTTGCTCATTGCTTCCACGTGAATCACGATCTCACGTAAGCAAAATGCTAAGCATGTCAACATATAACGTAGAGGGAGTTGTTTTATTAACCATTTTAATAAGGTTGCCGTTAGACAGAATTAGAATCCAGGTCTTTTTCAGAAAGAACTGTGTGAAAGAGATCTCCCTTATGGCAGACTCATCTTTTATAAGTGTTATAAGAAGGGGGTGAAAATTAACTGAAAGTTGAGAAAAATGTTCTGGTCGTGATAATTTTTGTTATGAAGCGATAAATAGGTGGATCTGTCTGACTTTCAGAATTTCTGATGCATTTGCAATATAACTTCAGAATGGAACATATCACCATCCCTAATGCATGAAAAAGACACATTTTTCTCTTCATTGTGCACTCAATTTCCATTTCCATTTTTAAAATCTGGGAACTCCTCTAGGTTAGAAATATGTAATTAGTTATTCTGGGGCCTAATAGCTGGAAAGACATTTTCTAATGGGTTAAGGCTTGCTGAAAGCCATTTCAACATTAGAAACTTCTCATTAGCATAAAATCCATTCCATTTCCTTATCTTAAAATGGGCAAGCTTGGCATGCTGCTTTGGACAATTCCAGTAAACTATTCTCACTGCTGCCTCAAGGAAAAATACATACGTACATACACATACATACATACATACGTACATACATGCATACACATATGTATGATTTTTTCCCCGATTTAAAGATTGGGAATATTCTCATATAGATCAAAACCTGATTCTTTTAATCTTGCAATTCCTTTAATTTTACTGTACCCATAAATATTTTTATGGACCAGCAAGGGAATGAAATTTATTCTCTGTATTGTTTCCTCTGTTTGAAAAACTTACCTTTGCTGGAGATTTCAATAGTCATTTTGTTTATAGGTTTACTCAGTTTTGTGCGGTGTGCAATATAAATAGCATTATCCTGTTCCTTTTTTGCAGTAAACAACATTATGTGAAGCATAAAAAATGCTAGTGGCGGGCAGAAGAAATTAAAAGCAAGAGATAAAAGACAGGGAAACCTGAAACTGCTTTTACTAATAACATAATCAGTTTTTGTTTGCAAACTTGCGTTGCAAAATTTCCTTTAGAGAGATTGCTCATAATATAAAAATACAAAAAAAGCCTCCCAACCCTTGATTGTGTATTCAGAAAATCTCTTCACCCTGTCAGCACCTGACTAAATATTGCTTTGTTTTATTATAATATTTTAGAGCTCTATTCACTGTAAACATTCCAGTGTATGTATATGCTTCTTTATTTAAACCCTTGTAGTTTCAGTTTTGATGCATCTACAGTTGTTGGTAAGGTAGATACTATATAGAGGTCAGCATTCTTCTAACCCAAACTCATCATTCATTGAATTGAGAATGTTCATCCATTATTTAGGTTAACTTTTTTTTTTATTATGCTAGAACACCGATGCTGCCCTCCTCCCGTGTATCAGCTATCCTGCATTTGCTGTGGACGATGAAGCTTTGTCCAATCAAACAGTCGATAAGATAGTTAGAAAACTCAAAGGAAAATACGGATTTAAGCGTTTTTTGAGAGATGGTTACAGAACGGCGTTGGAGGATAAAAACCGACAGTACTATAAACCAGCAGAGATTAAGGTAATGACCTTGTTCCTGTGATATGGGAAGGAAGGAATGTGTGTTCATAAATGCCAGAGTACAAAATTGGTGGGATTTTTTTTTTGTTGCCCCGTGTTTATTACAATGACTAGGCCAAGAAGTTCCAGGTTTGCCCACTTTAGATAATTTTTCATACTGCCAGTTGTTTTGATTCTGAATGTCCAGTTCTAATATTTGGATTTTACTGACATTGCTGAGTCCAGATGTTAGCAATATTTTTTATATCATCTGTTTTTAAGCTATTAGAGGACAATGCTTCAGCACTCTTGCAACTGAATTAACATCAAAGATTAATGTTGAATTATTGTTGATATAATCATGGGTCTTCCTTTCTGAAAATCCTGGATATGCCTCCATTAATGTTCCTTACATATCCATTGTCCTGAATTTCTAGGATGGAAATTCATAGGATGGAGATAATCCTATAGGACATAGGATGGAGATAATTCTATAGGACATAGAATGGAGATAATCTTTCAGACACCAGAAAACCACTGATCCATTAGAGTTAGTAACAAGAGACTAGATAGCTAGTGGCCAAACTCAACTCATAACTATTTTATACACGTACAAGTGACAATATGTAGTCCTTTGGTTCATTTTCAATCTGTCACTGATATAAAAGGATGAGGAGTGTATCATTTGTATTCTGCCCTGCGTAGTGAAGAATTATCTGAACCATGGACCCTACTCCAAATGTAATCTACCTGTATGGAATGTGCGGGAGAAAGACAGAGGGCAGGACAAGTGGGTTTACAAGTTTGCCATGGTCAACTCACCATGACCAACTTGCCACGGTCGTCATGGCCAACTCATCATGGCCAACTCATCACAGCCAACTCACCAAGGGACAAGAGTTACATTACTATCAAAGAAAGAATGCAAAAGGAAGGACAAAACGAAATGCGAATGAGAAAAATTAAAATAATTTAAAAAATTATTTTAAATATTTAAATCAAATTGTTGAATTGTCCCACGTTAAGCTGTCCCATTCTGAGAACAAAATAGTGCAGAATGCACTTCATCCCTTAGACTCCACATTAACCTCAACGTGACTTAGCTCTGTCAAATCTATGGAGAGAAGTTAAGTTTTAGATGCTCTTCTCATGTTCTTTGGGTGTTCTTCCTCACTTTCTCTCGGTGTTGTTGCATGTTTTGACAGAACCCAAAGAAAATGTTCTTTGCTTTGATGTATAAAGTGAAGTGGGAAGAAGCTAAACAAATCATAGAAGCTATTAGCTTTGGCACTTCCTTGCCATCTATTTTAGTGAAGGAGACATGGCTTGTAGGGTGGATGTGCAATACTTAATATATTGCACCAGCATATTTCTTCCTGATAGATTTGTTTAAAGGTGAATGTGTTTGCATTTCCACTTCAATGTATAGCTTCTTTCCTGTCACAGATAGTCAAATTATTTATCATTTTATTTAATTTCACAGCTGGCTACAGACTGGAGTGTATTAATAATAAAATTTTGATATGGTACTGAATATTAATGCTTTCCATTAAGAGCTGTCTGAATGAAGTTCCCTTTTCTCCTTCACTTTTCTTTTCATACTATTTTTAATTTAAATGGAATTTCCTTGCGGAGCAGCACGGTGCGATAAATCTTAACACATAAAATTGTGGTTCCGCATTTTGAAAGGGTTGGAATTTCTTTTCTTTTCTTTTTTTAATGTAGCCAGATGAATTACCTTTTTTCCCCCTCTTTCTTCAATGTAAGTTGTTGTTGTACTGAAAAAGAATAATTTGTTTTCATATGTATCTTTCATTCCTTTGAACTTGTAATAGATTGCTTGAACATGTTTCCGACAATAAAACCGCAGCACGCCTTTTATACATATTTATTTTTTTTCTTTTTGAAACAATTTTCAGCTCTTTGACGGCATTGAATGCGAGTTTCCTCTCTTTTTTATTTTTATGATGATTGATGGTAAGTATGATTTTGTGTTCTGATTGTCTCTGAAGAAAGGAGTTGGAATGTGTAGAGAGGATAAATGGAAGGATGCGCGCGTGTATACCCATGCCTATAGGCCTGTGGTGGTGAACCTATGGCACGCGTGCCACAGATGGCACGCAGAGCTCTCTCTGTGGGCACGCGCGCTGTCACCCCAGTCCTAGGCCTTCAGCTGTGTTTTATAAAACCTTTTCGCTTTAGGCCTCCGCCGCCATGTGCAAAAAAAAAAAGGTTCAATCAATCAATTTCAACTTCTCGCGGGGAAAAAAAATCTCGCAAAGTTGGAATTGATTGATTGATTGATTGATTGATTGGGTGAGCCACACCCACCCAATTGGCCACACCCACTCAATGAGCCACACCCACCCGGCACCTGACAATACATAAGTGGGTTTTGTGTTGCAGTTTGGGCACTCGGTCTCTAAAAGGTTCGCCATCACTGCTGTAGGCAAACCAAGAGGAAGATTATAATTGCTTGTGCCAAATTTTTCAATAATAATGCTGCACCTAAGTAAAATGAATTTAGCTGATGGAATAAAGGGGGCGTGATGGCTCAAGTGGTTAAAGACACTGAGCTTGTCATCTAGAAAGCTGACAGCCCAAGTTCAAGACCTGAGCACTGCACAACGAGTCAACTCCCATCCTTGCTCCAGCTCCTGTCAACCTTGCAGTTCAAAATCATGCAAATGCGAGTAGATCAATAGGTACCACTTTGGTGGGAAGCGTTAACAGCATTCCATGCAGTTAGCTTGGGATGTAGCCCTGCTGACCACATGACCACAGAAAAGTTCCAACACTGGAAGTTTTTAAGAAGAGACTGGACAGCCATTTGTCTGAAATGGTATAGGGTTTCCTGCCTGAGCAGGGGTTTGGACTAGATGACCTCCAAGGTCCCTTCCAACTTTATTATTATTATTATTGATCATTGCACAGTCAGCCAGATGTTCAGACTGGATTTGGCATTTTTGTCTACCTATCGAGTCCTTACCAAAGACCTGGGATAGGCAGATGTGGATGTTTGATGGTATTACAGATATCGTCGCAGGATGGAAGCAGTTCCTAGTAAGGCCACCTTTTGCAATTGACTAATGGCGAATTTGTCAATGCCGATGGTGTTCAAGTGGTGCTCCAGTTGTTTTGGGATTGCACCCAAGGCGCCTATTACTATTGGTACTACTACTACTACTACTACTACTACTACTACTACTACCACTATTATTATTATTATTATTATTATTATTATTATTATTATTATTATTATTATTATTATTATTATTATTTACTGGACAGGGAAAACTTCTACCTTTATCTTTTAATTTACCTTTAATTAACAGAAAACTTATTTTCTGTTATGTGTTTTATTTCTCACTGTGTTTGGTTGGACAGAGCAGTTATTTATGTACAATTAAGATTAACAAGCTAAAGGGTTTTTTAAAGGTTTTTTTTATTTGGGAGGTCTCTAGTGCAGAAACAGTGCAAGAGCCCCTCCGTCAGTTTCAACAGGGACACCAGGAAATAATTGGAACTCCTCTCCCATCATTCCCAGCCAGGTCAATGCAATGACAGAAGGTTGCTTTAGGTAGATCTGTGAGTATCTAACGTAATGCTGTTTACATACCTGCCAGCCGTTTTGGGAGATTTTCACAGATAAAGCTTATGGTCACAGTCGAATAAATGACTTTTACTGAAATCTCATGTAGCTTCAGTGACATTTTGCCGCCCTCCTTCGTGACCTTTATCTTCAAGGAAATGCAGAATTTGAAATCGGCAACATTTCCAGCCTCCCTTCCTCCAAACCCCCCCCTCCCCCTGGAAAGAAGAACTGGAACCACTGGCGAGTGTGAATTATAGACAAATGTCAGTAAAAGGAAATACAGATCAAAGCTTAACACTGTAATCATGACAAAACTGCAGGAAATCCATCTGGTATTTCATAACCCCCTACCTAACAGGGAAATTATTTTCAACTAGGGAAGTAGTGGGTATTACAGTCTAATCCATGAAAAATTATATGTATGCCCATATATGATAAGAGAGAACGTGTAATAGGAAAATACCTTATGAGCCATCCCTCTCGTCTACCCTTCCATCTTCCCCCCCCCCTTTCTTACATGGCATTTCTCTCGTTCTGATCTTTGCTGGCTGCAAGCCACAATTTGTGGTTTTGGTGTACCTAGCCAAATTGAGGAGTGGCAGGGTTAAGTCCTGGTCTGCACCTGTCTTTTTGCCACAGTTGTTAAGTGACTCTCTGTGATTGTTAAATTAGTACCATGGTTGTGAAGTGAATCTTTGCTTGTCAGAAGGTGATCACATGACCCTGGGACACAGCAATGGTTATAAGTCAGTTCCCAGTGTCTGAATTTTGAAACCGGGAGATTGTGAGTTCTAGTCCTGCTTTAAGCAGGAAAGCTGGCTGGGTGACTGGGTCAATCGCCAGGAGATTGTGAATCCTAATTCTGCCTTAGGTAGGAAAGCCAGCTAGGTGACTTTGGGCCATTCACTAGGAGACTGTGAGTTCTAGTCCTGCCTTAAGCAGGAAAGCCAGCTGGGTGACTTTGGGACAGTCACAATGAGATTATGAATTCTAGTCCTGCCTTAGGTATGAAAACTGGGTGAATTTGAGCCAATCCCTCTCTCTCAATTTTTAACCTACCACACTATGTTGTGGTGTGGAAAATGGGAAGAAGAGTATTAGGTAAGTTCACCACATTGAGTTATTTGTAAAAACCCCATAAAGATGGGATTCAAAAATGCAAGCAAATGTAGTATATGATGGGCAATTTGAGTGAAAGGGCAGATGGATTTATAGAAAGCAGAAGGTCGTCAGGTGCCGTTTCCCATCTCTGCCGTTTCGTCTTGAAGATAAAGACTCTTTTACCTTTGATAGCGGTTGACTGAAACGGCGATGGGCCTTTTCGTTAGCACTGAGTCACCTAGAAAGGGATGCATCTTGCTAACAAAGTCTCCTTGGATTGTTTTTAGGGTTCTTCCGAGGCAACCCTGAGCAAGTCAAAGAATATCAGAACCTTCTGGATCCTTTACTACAACAATCAGTGGAAGGTATTCTCCATGGAGAACTCTGGATCAGGAGTCCTCAAGCATGTTTCTAGTCAATGTAGTAAATGCCAGACCAACTGCTAGAAAAAAGACTCCAGTACTTTGGAAGAACTCCACTCCAGGCTAAATATGATGTCACATTCATTTCCCCCCCCCCTCAAATGTGGATCAGGAAAAACGGTCTGGTGAATGAAATATCAATTAGTTAAACATTCGGTTGCTCAAGAGCCATGAGCCACCTTCGTCTTTTGTTGTGTACAACTACATTGTGCGTGAGACCAAACCATCCTGAAGGAGAAGATATTGTAGAATGGGTAAATTGAGTAATGTGACGTGGATCCATAGTATCTGGTCATGGCCAAGAAAGTAACATTTCTTGATCCTCTAGAACCATGTTTTTTAATCTTGATGACATTAAGATGGGTGGACTTCAACTCCCAGGCTGGCTGGGGAATTCTGGGAGTTGAAGTCCACCCATCTTACAGTTGCCAAAGTTGACAAACACTGATCTAGACTTCTAGTTGAAGTCCACCCATCTTACAGTTGCCAAAGTTGACAAACACTGATCTAGACTTCTAGTTGAAGTCCACCCATCTTACAGTTGCCAAAGTTGACAAACACTGATCTAGAAGTTGACAAACACTGATCTAGTACACTTGGTCCTGGGATGGTAAGTTGGGTCTTAATCATGACACTTAATAGGTCTTGCAAGATGCAAGTTTACGTAGGTAAGAAGCCTTGAGGATACCTCACTTTTCTCAAGGGAAATTTGTGGTTCTGAAGAGAGCTCTGAGTAAATTTCTTTAAAAAATCCCATTTCAATTATGTTTATGATCTCATTGCTTCCCCCCCCATATCAATACAATAAAGGCATTCCGTTTGAAAATACTACAAAGGAAAGTACACTGAGATGTTGAGTATCTCTTATGAAGTATCTCTTATAAAAACGATCCTTTTGTTCTGAATCTGCCAACTCTTCTCCAGTCATGGTTTGCCTTGTGTGCTTTTTGTTTTAGCTGAATCTGGCTAATTAAAACAACCACAGTGAATTATTTTAGCACTTACTCTCTGTTTCCCACCTTTTAACACCCTTCCAGAAAGCGAGTAGGATGCTTTCCTTTACAATGTTTCACAGTAGCCTATCCTTTCCATTTTAAATCCTGGCCAATGTCCCACTGTGTAATTCAATTGTAACCTTTTTTTAAAAATTGCTTTAAATTGCCATTTGCATGAAATAATATATAATTTAATTAAATGTGCATACACTATGCACCGTGTCTTTAATAAACATTTCAAAACACATCTTCTTGACTTTAAGCCATTATTCTTCTTGTTGTGCCATATCCGTTATCGGACGTTGGCGATCATGTTGGCGATCCTGTTTTTATCAGCAGCCGCATGAAAAAGTGCTGCTGAGTTTTGTCCAAACCAGTCCCTGAGATTTTGAACCCATGATGTTCTTCTTCTGCCTGGACCTCGCTTGCCTTCGATCTTTCCCTGGAGGATTAAATGGAGTATGCCGTATTTTTCTGGGTGTCGCATCACATGTCCGAAATATTCTAAGCCATTACCAATACAAATGACCTGTAACTCAAACACCTATATATTTTCGGACATAGGTATATGTGATGATGTTAAAAACTCAAGAGTATTGAGGGTTTGGGTTTAAAGCACCATATTGAAGAATACAGGTGAAGTTTCTCTATCTCATTCTTAAGCTCTCTTTCATTATGGCTTTTCATTTCACTTAGAGCAGTTGTAAATATTTCCGATCCGTAGCACCTGCTTAACAGTGGTGCCTCTAAAAAAAAAAAAGCACAGCCTTTTCCATCTGTCAAAAATTGCCTTTTTCCCCCCCTCCTTCTAGAACCAGTTTATAGGCATTGCACCTGTTCAGTCAAGGTGTAAATCGAGATGGCGGTTTGTATCAACTTTAGTGAGCTGCAGCACAGAAGGATTATTAGTGGCGGCGTTATTTCTTTCACTGTGCTTTTTTTTTTGGGTGGGGGGAACTTATTTTGTCAAACGTGTATTTCTTTATCCTTCACCTTTTTTTTTTTTTAGAACTGCCCATGTCCTTCCATTTGTTCCTCTTTAACTAGTCTGTTTAAACATTTGCAGGCTTTCCGGTTGTACCCAAATATTACCACGTGCCAGCTGATTTTGTTGAACTGGAAAAGAAAAATCCCGGCAGCCAGAAAAGGTTTCCTAGTAACCACGGACGGGATGGCAAGTTTTTTCTGTTGGGACAGTCCCTCTATATTATTGCCAAACTTCTCGGTAAGTAGGCAGACCTACCAAAGAATCAGAATGTCCTCCTAGTTGAATAAGATTCTCCTGCACCTGACTTCCTGAGTTTTAGAAGCTGCATGAGAAGGTTCCTGGATCATTAAACGACCTTTTAGCAATGGCAAATAGCATTTATATACCAGTTCACAGTGCTTTACAGCCCTCTCTAAGCGGTTTACGGAGTCCGCATATTGCCCTCCAACAATCTGGGTCCTCCTTTTACTGACCTCGGAAGGGTGGAAGGCTGAGTCAACTTTGAGCTGGTCGGGATCGAACTCCTGGCAGTGAGCAGTGAGTTAGCCTGCAATATTGCATTCTAACCTCTGTGGCCCCATGGCGTAGTGCACTATCACGCCGCTGTTGAACCTATATCACACACAGTTTCCTAGAATTGCTAAACCGTAGCTTATTAACTTGAGAGCGAACTTCTTCAGACTTAAGAATTGTAAGAACAATGCTGTTCGTTTGGGCCAAGGATCCATTAGTTCATCTTCCATCTTACCAACCAGATATTCTTTGGGAAGCTCACTACTTCCCAAATAGAGTTCATCTCCCATGTTGCTCTGCAGCAGTTTGCAATTAAGATGCGCCTACGATTCAGAAATATTCAGCCTATCTCCGTCAAGACTGGTGGCCTTTGACAGATGCATTCTCTGTAGCCTGCTTTGTCTGGCTTTGAACGTTGACAGTATCTCTTGTTTCTATTACATTCAAAGAGAAAACTGACACTGGGGGAAAAAAAAAATTCAAGCTGTTGATGTTGAAGTTTGAAGCACAATGAAAGGGTGAGGGAAGAGCGTATGGGCACATGGCTTATCATAGTGAGTCTGTTCAAGATCATTGTCTCTCAGTGCAGTGTTAGATTTCAAGAGGGCTTGGAAAAATACGTGCTGGAAATGTCTCTCAGGATAAATTCTCCATGCTGTTTGTTCGAATTCTGGGATTGAAGCTGGCTTCCTGATTCCCCTCTGGGTGCGCAACGTGTTCTGGCAAAACTGGGCTCAGATGCCTTCAGTGATCTAAGGACCAACCACCACATTTCATTATCACTCTGGTTCGTTAATCAGATGCTGATCTCGGTTTCTTGCGGTATTTCAGAGTAATAAATTGCGTAGTGTTGACAACTGCTTTTAATTATCCGTTGACAAATAACTGATGCTGGTGGTCTTGCTTTCAGTTGATGGTTTAGTAAGCATTAAAGATATCGACCCAGTGAAGCGTTTCATTCCCCCGCAAGATCAACGGAATGTTAGCATGCGATACTCAAATCAGGTACGTGTGTCTTCATTTAAGTTGGCGATTTCTACTGATGTATGAAAAAAAGTCCATTACTGTTGAGCAAATTGCTGATCCGTAACATATTGGGGGGGGGGAATAATTTTGGATTAGCCCATGATGAGGAGCATAGAATAAATTGCTTATATAATAACTATTTGCAAAGTTTGCTATACTTTTCAAAGTTGGAATAGACCGTCTGGATAATATTTTTTAAATTGTGTACCCCAATTTTTACAAGCCAGCAGAACCAGTTAGCTAATTTGAACAGTTGGTTACAAAACACGACTGAGTTGGTTTACTAACGTTATATCAATGTCCACCCAGGCTGGGTCTAGTAGTTATAAAATAACTGTTGGAGCTGAAATAGGTGCTGGGCAAATAGGTCAGGCCTTAAAATTATGATTATCAAGCATCCAGGAGCCTGTCCTATAATTTATTCAGTTTTGTTTTCTTTCAAAAAATACCAGCCTGGACAAAACATATAAAAAGAACTGCATATGTGAGATGCATTGGTGAGTTTATTTTTTCCATAGAGACCCCATGCTTGTGGTTTGGTTGTTAAATTTACCGACTCTCCCTCTACATTCTTTTTAAGACTACAATTCAGATATCTTAAACTACAGGTAATCCTTGATTTAACAACCATTTGTTTAGTAACTGTCCGAAGTTACAGTGGCAATGAAAAAAGTTAATAGGCTTGAGGTTGGTTCCTGGAAAGGTTCTACAGTAGCAGGTTGAAACAAGTGATACACAGCTCACAAAATTTGTGAGATTATGGTAGACTCTGTGGATCACCTCATATTTTTTAGGACTGCAGAAGAATCGATTTAACGTACCTAACACATTTAATTTTAAGCAGCCGTGACTGTATCTTACCTTAATTTCTTCTTCACAACTCTTACCTTCTATTTGTTTTCAGTTCAATAAATCAAGTTATTTTGTTGGATTTTTGGAATTTACTGGCATTCCATTAGTATTGGTTTTAATTCATTTTAACGGTAACTGCAAAACCATTATCTGGATTGAACCCAGTTAACGGGTTTCTCATCCACCTTGGTTGTAAATCTTTGTTCTCCAGACATTTATTCCCTTATTCAGGAATTGGCTTTCTCAGCAGGAGGCTCACAAGACATGACTCAGTTAGATTTGTCCTTTGATTTCAGATAAGAATAAAACACATGAAAGTATTACCCACTGTGCGATGCAAAAGTCAAAGCTTTTCCAAGTTAATGAATACTTGGCCATTACTTTGATGGCCCAGGAAATATAGGAGAAAGTCAGGCAGAGCTGTGGGTGGCGTCAAGGGAGGAATCAGCCTGTACTCATTACATTCCCACATGCATTCTAAGTCCAACCCCTCTTGAATTCCATTAACTCTTATCTAGTGCCAATTTACGGCCGACTGTTAGTTGACTTGTTTTTTGTGGCTAGGCATGAGCAGTAAATCAGTTTAACTGGAACTTAACGTTTGTCCTGATTCTTTGCACCTGACAGGATCTGAGATGTACAGTAGATCAGACCAAGAAATCAACTCCCCATTAAAATGAGAACTACTTTTATTAAAACTGGCTATCGTCACCGAAGGTTGCAAGTCTAATTATGCTTTGCTTCCTGCCTCTCTTATACTCATGTGAATTAGGGGGTGTCTGAGACATTTATGCATACGTCCTTTATTGTTTGGGCTTAAGGAATATTTTCCTTCTTACAGCTTTGGTAAGAGATCTCCCATTTTTCTTCTCGAGGCCATCCTCTTTACAGCACCTGAATTGAATTAATGTAATGGTTCTCTCTAACCTGGGATATGCTGGCCTCTCTCTCTCTCTCTATATATATATATATATATTGAGAAAAATAGTCAAACACCGGGATAAATATAAAAACAACTGTTTAATAAACTAATAACTGTTTGATAAACTTAGCTTTCGTTGGCTAACTGCCGACGTCGTCAGAGTCGAATGCCGGAGGTTCAAAAGCCTGCTTATAAGACCGGCAGTTTGTGCACTCTGCTCATAGAACATGTTACCGGTCTACCCGCCCCAGTTGACCATATTGCTTCTAATAGTTTCACATCCATCTTTATACTCGTAAGCTCGGGGATCATCACCTCTCTTGTTGTCGTTCTCTCTTTGCCTGCTTTGGATGTATCTGGGTACACGTTGCTATAGGATGGTCCCCCATTGCCTCCTGTCCTGTATAATATACAGGCCTCCTGTCCTGTATTATATACAGGCCTCCTGTCCTGTATTATATACAGGCCTCCTGTCCTGTATATAATACTAGATAGCTTCGTAAAAGCCAATCAGTCAGCCAAAATGGAAGTTTCTTTTAAAAGACAATTTCATTCATTAACGAAGCTCGTGTAGTTCTCATTAGTAATAAAACAATTTAATCAAACTTGAGATTTGGGATAGAAGCTATTTTCTACAAAATGGCCCTTTTTCTAAAAACCTATCATGAAACCAGATCTATGGAAGGGCTATTATTCTTTTTCCCATAACTGGAATTCAAGCATGAATGACTCCATATGAAAAAGCGCTATCTGCATTTAAAACGGTTCTTTCCCTGCAACGGGGAAATGATAACGTGTGTGGGGTAATTCCCCTGAATTGTTTTTCTTATGAATATCCCATTTCCAACTGAAGTGGACAAGTACTTCATAAAAGGGCTTTGTATTCGAGTTCTAAACATTCTCTGGTATAAACAGGAACAGATTGTAGCAGTGCTCTGCAGCTGTCTACAGATGTTGATTCTTTTTCTTCCTGTCATAAAATATCTCCATTCCAGCATTTTTTTCTCAGTCAAACAAATAAACAAAAACAGGACCACAGACCCAATAAACGAATCATAAAAGTTTTCTCCCCCCCCCAGTCCTTTTTTCATCCTTATGTTAAAAGCTAATTTGCATTTAACCTTGCTGAAATCAATTCTATTTGATGCTTCAAAAGATTCATCAGGCTAAATCAAGCATTAGTGGAGCCAGGATGTTTATTTATCTTTTGGAATTGAGACATCCCTCCATGTCTTGCTTTACTCATTTAAAACAACCCTTTCCAAACTTCTTAATGTGTTACATTGTGCTTCAATTTTTTCCTATTGTGCTTCAAAAATCCTGCCAGGAACTCAGTCAACAGGCTGCTATGAAACCATTAGAAGTTCAGATCAAAGGGGTGGAGGATATTGTGATGGCAAATGTCCATTGATCTTGATCCTGACTAGATCAAAAACCCCGTAAAGAGTGGGGGACTTGCATAACTCCTCTTACTTTGAAGCTTATTGAAATCTAAGCCTCACACCAAGTTCTAACAATAGTTCTGTTGTTCTACTCTACTCTAGAACAGTGGTGATCCTGCATCACATCCACACCAACTCTTTGTCACAAATGCCTAATTTGCAATAAATGGAACTGCTTCCTAAATTCATAATAGGATTGTAAATACTTAAAAACTTGGAATAATAAGTAAGCATTAGTTAGAGAGCACTGATTGTTTTCCAAGTTTTTTCTCAAACAAAAGCAATCTATGTTACATTTGTATAGCAGAATTCACCAATCTGGGCACGGTCTAGATGCCTAGACATCTTATCCTAGAATCCTTCCACCAGAGTAGCCATTATTTTTTTTATTTTTTAAATTTTTTTACTGAAAAGCAAAAAATTAAAAACATTGAACATGGTAGCACAAATTTGACATATATCTCATTTCACTATTACCATAAATTACTAATGAGAAAAACCTATACAATAACATCACTCTAATCACAATCTTGAATTATCTCAGTACAATAACTTCCCTGCTTTTCAACCATTATTGAGGTTTATAATAGTTGAAGCCCACATATCTAGAAAGTGCTTGGATTTTGCAAGGGTGCATCGAACAAACACAATGTAGTGTATATAGTTTTATTTTGTACCAATATCACACTGTTTGAAGTTGCCCAGTTAAAAACCTTACAGCTAAAAGTATACTTGATGCTCTGCTGGTGCCTTAAGTCAGACCCCCCAAGTTATGATATGTTCGTAGGCAGTGACAATTCCATTGTTTTTTCTGTGGATATACTCAAAAAAAAATTAAAATTTGCTATACTCAAAAAAAATTAAAATATGGAATCTGCCCATAAAACGAATGAAAAGGACATTTTGGGTAAATAAACTCTACATGTGCAGTCATGTAGGCTGTCTGCTTCATAGAACATCTGCTACGCATCCACATTATATACCACTGCTGAGAGATAACCAGTAGCATTACGTTCATGGATTAGTAGAAAATGCTTTTTAGTAAATGATGCACAAGTCTAATAAATCAAAGGCTGGTGGTTTCTTGTCCTTCCTGCTTCACTACAAAAGAGTTAAACAAAAGGGAAGAATCTGTTCCTGCCATTTCAATAGTGCATGATTCAAAAAATTATTGACATCGCAGCTCCCCAGGTGGCATTTAGATTTATGTGTGTTGCTTCCCTGATGTTCCTTTCTCCTGTTTGCATAACCAAATGGATTAACAGGCAATAAAGAATGAAGGAAAGCCGCAACTCAGCCGGAAAATGCCAGTCGTATTTAATGAACGGTTATTGTTCACATTGGCTTTGCGTTATGTGGCAGGTAACAATCAAATAGCGAATCCCCATAAAAAAGATTTCTTTTTCTTCTTCTGGTTTTAGGGTCCCTTGGAAAATGACCTCGTGGTCCATGTCTCATTGATGGCTGAAAGCCAGCGGTAAGTCATTCAGATCTCCAATAAACCTCTTTGATTGGTTTTCAAGGTGCTAGTTAGTGATTCTGGTACTTAAGATGGAGATGCCATCGTCTCCAGATCCTTTGTAGGTGAAATCTTGCAGAGTTTCTCCATCCCTCCTATGACAACATCCTACAGTCAAGAGGCAGAGTGAAACTGTTGGATTTTGATGGGTCAGGCTGGAAATTAAAATGAGGAGCTTGACATTTTCCTTTTTTTATTATTTAACTCAATGGGCTTCAAGGTTCAGCCCAAACCTCTAGTGAAGTCCCAAGACTCCTGTTCCAGAACTGATCTCAAGAATGGTGGATTGGGAAGAATTCTTGGTTCAGATCTGAATTTTGTCACCAGCCATATTCAGGTTTCCGGTTTAGCTCAGGCAGGTTCAAGAGTTATAGGACAGAGACATTGTGTTAGACTGTCACTGTGTTTCTGTCTTAGCATGTTGCATAAGCATGTGAACACAGGCAGATCTTTCCAAGACCTTTTGGAGATATCTGGACCTACATGGTAATTCTAGTTTTGAAACTCTCAAAGCAGTAATAAAGATTATTACACCCAACCTGGCTTTGATTGCATAAAAACCTGGATTTCTTTCAAATATGGTCTACTGAAAGCAGATTCCAGTTTTGTCACACTAATGTTCCTTTTGTAATGTTTTCATTGAAAACAACAACAGCTTGCAGGTGTTTCTGAACACATATGGAATCCAAACACAAACACCGCAACAAGTTGAACCCATCCAGATTTGGCCTCAACAAGAACTTGTGAAGGTAAGTTATTACTTTAGCATTTTTTTTTAAAAAAATTATTTTCATTGTCTTTTTAAAACTAGTGTTTCCTAGGCTATGATAAATTGCTTTGATTTTGGTGCTAATTATGTCAAATTAAAAAACTATGTACTGTATGTACAGATACATACACACACAAACAGACACACACCTATCAATAAACGCAGGTTTTATTAAAAAGGAACACCCTAGAAATAGCTAGAAATGAATCGTAAGGAAATGAAGTAAATGATACACTTGTTTTTATAGAGAGAAAATCTCTTCTAATATTGTTTCGTTCTAGCGCTTAGAATAGCAAATGTTTCCAGTCCAAACACATCTCATTTGTAAACAAGGTCCAATTCAAATTTTGTTGAGCAAATATGTTTAACTTATTCGTGCTGATATTCTGAGATTACTCAGTGAATAAAATTGTCACAGGGAAAATATGTTTCTGAAATAACGTGCATCTCAAGATTAGAAGCCGGGAGACTTTGAGTTCTCATCCCACCTGAGGCACTAAGTTAGCTGGGTGACCTTGGGCCAGTCACTCTTACGTAGCCCTTGGAAGAAGGCAATGGCAAACCGTTTCTGAAAAATTTTGCCAAGAAAACTGCAGGGACTTATCCAGGCAGTCTCCGAGAATGGAAGGGGCCTTGGAGGTAACCTAGTCCAACCCCCTGCTCAGGCAGGAAACCTTATACCATTTCGGGCAAATGGCTGTCCAGTCTCTTCTTAAAAACTTCCAGTGTTGGAGCATTCATCGCTTCTGGAGGCAGGTTGTTCCACTGGTTAATTGTTCTCACTGTCAGGAAGTTTCTCCTTAGTTCTAGGTTGCTTCTCTCCTTGGTTAGTTTCCATCCGTTGCTTCTTGTCCTGCCTTCAGGCGCCTTGGAAAATAGCTTGACTCCCTCTTCTTTGGGGCAGCCCCTGAGATATTGGAACACTGCTATCCTGTCCCCCCTCGTCCTTCTCTTCATTAAACTAGACATCCCCAATTCCAGCAGCCGTTCCTCATATGCTTTAGCCTCCAGTCCCCTAATCATCTTTGTTGCTCTTCTCTGTACTCTTTCTAGAGTCTCAGCATCTTTTTTACATCGCAGTGACGATGTCATATTTTATTTTAACCCCGTGTGTATGTGAGTGAGTGAGTGAGTGAGTGAGTGAGAGAGAGAGAGAGAGAGAGAGAGAGAGAGAGAGAGAGAGAGAGAGAGAGAGGAAATCTGGTTTATATGTGAAAATTTTGTTTCTTGCTTTCATTGCATTAAAAAAAAAATCTATTAAAAAATTTAAAGTGCCCAGGAATAAACAAGTCGGCAGTCCTACCTAGTTCCCTGAAAAAAAAAAAGCTTTAAAAATAGAGCATCACCCTTTGCCCCATAAATATTAAATCTATTTATATTTCAATTATGGATCTTCAGTATTTATTTTATTTCAAACACTTACATCCCACCAGGCCTGGCCGGGGCAAGGCATGAATGCATAAGAGGAAGAGAAAGAAGCCTTTCAGATTTCCAGCTTTGAAACAGAACCCCCTGAGATGCCACCACTATTTCTTTGAACCGAACCCTCAAATAAATTGGAATCCCATATAACTGTTTCAGGAAGGGAGTCCTATAAACTCAGCATAGAGCATTGATCACAGCTTATCTCTGGCGTTCTAGGCGTGCCGTAATTGATGAGCAACCGCCAAAGGAAACAGCCCGACCCATAATTCAATAAGTCTTAATAGGATGCAGTTAAATATGGATCTGCTGGCCACAAAACGCAAAGAAAAGATTGGATTTGTACCTATTCCCCCCCATGCAGTTTTTAAGTGGAGTTTCTCTTCGATTTCTGCCCTCTTCTCTTTGCTTTACACGGGCTTGGCTTTCTTTCCAAACCGCTCGAACAATGCCGGAGGGAGGTTGACCTTCACTTCCTGAAAAGGTCACTTTGCTGCAGAATCATTGACCAGCTTCCCTCCTTCGCTCACAAAGCTTTGGCTAGAACTCTTTTTTTAAAAAAAGTTTTTTATTTATAAAACAGTTAAAACAAAGATGGACATAACGTAACATTCCAGTGTATATATTCCTAACAATTTGTTCCTCATCATACATATAATTCTTAATCTCTCTATATACATATTTTTCTATACAATACAGTCTCTAATTTGTTTCTCTATATACTAACATACAGTTTTATATATCTCTACCTTAACACTAACTTAAAACCCGAACAGTTCTCCTTGATTCACACCAACAATAGAATTTGTCCCAGATTTCAAAGTAATCTGACTCTGTCTTGTCCTTCATTTCCATTGTGAGCCTATCCATATCAGCACACCATAGGATTTTATATATATTCTCTTCTTCTGTTGGAATTTCTTTATTCCTCCAGTTTTGTGCATACGCCAATCTAGCAGCCGTGAGAATGTGTAGCATCAAGTAAAGTATCCCTTTGTCGTATTTCTGCGTAGTTATGCCTAGTAGGAAGAGTTCTGGTTTTATCTCTACCTCTATCATTAGTATTTCTTCCAGCCATTTTTTAACCTTGTTCCAAAAGTCACGGGCTTTTGAGCACTCCCACCACATGTGGTAATCTGTCCCTCTTGCCAATTTACATTTCCAGCACGTGGAAGAAATATTTGGACCCAACTCTTTTTTTAAAGAGTTAATCTGTTCACTGAGGCAATCATATGTGCAAGAAGTACGAACTGGTGACTTCTTCTTCTTTTTTTTTTAAGAATGTTCCAGATCATGTCCCTCTCCATCTCACATTCACTTGTTATGTCTTCTCTCAGAGATCCTAAATATTCCGATTTGGCCGGAAGGAGGCTCTGTTCCTTGTTTTTAAATGAATAAATAAGGAATGCTGCTGCCCTTACTGATCTTTCCCAAAGGCACCAACTTCCTCTCTGAACATTGGTTTGCTGTGACATGTTACATTATATTGTCTTTTACAGGCTTACTTCCATCTGGGCGTCAACGAAAAACTGGGACTCTCGGGAAGACCCGATCGACCCATCGGTTGCCTTGGAACATCAAAGGTCACTATTCTGCACAGTTTAGTTAGCCTAAATATTGGAGGTAGTCTAAATCAGAGGTCCCCAACCCCCGGTCTGTGGACCTGCACCAGGCATGCCAGAAACCGGGACACTCAAAACAAGCCAAGCCTCATCCGTGGGATGCAGCTAGTACATGAAACCACGCCCCCTCCGGTCCGCGGAAAAACCTCTCTCCACGGAATTGGTCCCTGGTGTCCAAAAGGTTGGGGACTTCTGGTCTACATTATTCTCCGAGCTTGGCAAGAAATTGGTAGCGAAGCTTTTTGCTCCCTTTTCAGGAATTCGGCCCATTGAGTTTTGCATGGCTTATAACTGAAATTGCACATCTTATCTAAGATTTGTTCATCTGCAAGTTCTTAAGAAGAATCATCTCATTAGTAATTTAGGAGGAAGCTCTCCTAGGTGTTTTCAGTGTAATCCATATAAATAAAAATGTGAATGTTCGTTTGTTCAAAATCTTAAATCTCCGAAAGTTCTTCACCGATTGCGTTGAAATTTTGACACAACGTTGCATTCGAATACGCGCGTGTTTTTATATACCTATATTATATAGATGTCACACCTGTGACAGGTAAAAACATGCTTTTTTTGAAAAACAGCGCCATCTGTTGGACGTAAAAGCAACACACGCTTTTACCAGACTGAGCCACAACAACGCGTGGCCGGGTACAGCTAGTTGAGAATAGAATTTGGACTGTCATAGCCATGCTAGTTTGTGAGGTTCCACTAAACTTTTTAGCTTGGCTTGCTTGAATACCTCCATGGTTAAAAACGCTGTGTCATTGGCTTTAACTATTACATGGAACTTAGAGTTTACTCTCATAAAGATCTGATTGTCCGTGTTTCGTGGATCTGAGATATTGATGGTTTATTTATTCTACAGATTTATCGAATACTGGGGAAAACCGTGGTTTGCTACCCAATCATCTTTGACCTGAGTGATTTCTACATGTCGCAGGATGTTATGATGTTGATTGATGACATTAAGGTATTTTCGGATAAACTCTGATTCTGCTTCGTCTGTTTTCATTTTAAAAGCTTAGACATTTAAATCATAGATTAAGTCTTGTGCTTTGTTATGATCTGGGCACCTAAAAGAGAAAAAAATTGAGAAGACCTTGTACTCAATAAGGAAGGGACACAGTTGCTTTCTCCAGAATCTTTTGCCTGAAGTTGAATTTACTTGCTTAACTTACGTAAAAGCAAACCTCACTAAAAAAAAGAAGCTGGCATACTTTGAGCCGACTTGCATTAGACTGGATTGTATAGCTAATTCCATATATTAGCAACAAAGTGAAAGTTACTGCATTTGGAGCCACAGAAGGACATTTGTGGATTTGGGATGCTTTTTGTGAAAAAAAAAATTCTTTCATTATATAAGATGCTGCACCTTTTCTTAATTTCTTAAGAAGCACAGAAATGGGTCAAAGAAAAGTCCGGAATGAAGCTGATAGATTAAAAAATGCAGTCCACTCTCAAATAACCACAATAAAAAGACCAAAGTATCAAGATTGGCTTTCTTTACAAAATGTTAAATTGAGGATTAATCATGCAGCTGTACAGTAAATGGGGAGGGAGAGAGGGAGGAAAAAGAGAGAGAGGGAGAGAGACTGGAGAAGCCAAGTGCCGCTGAATTGATCAAAACTGCTAAAAATCCACATTTGAACTGGTAAGCTTCAATTTCATAAGTGGAAAAAAATAATCCTGGTGCCCTAGAAGGAAATTACAAAGTTGTTGAAACCCCAAGGAGAGTTTTTGATTTACAGTATATTCAGCATCTGCTGTTTTGTAAAGATTGGGCTGGATAATCTGGGAATACTCTGTGCTGGAGAACAGTGCTCTGTAATTTTATTTTTTTAAATATATTATCCCCCACTCAACCTGGTTTTTCTTTCTTTCTTTCTTTCTTTCTTTCTTTCTTTCTTTCTTTCTTTCTTTCTTTCTTTCTTTCTTTCTTTCTCTCTCTCTCTCTCTCTCTCTCTCTCTCTCTCTCTCTCTCTCTCTCTCTCTCTCTCTCTCTCTCTCTCTCTCTTTCTTTCTTTCTTTCTTCTGAAGCATTTGAATTCCCTCAGTTTCCATGGGCTTTTAAGTGGATTGATTTGGTGGCTTGCTTTTTTTTTTTTTACAAAAACTGGAGAATAAAGAAGTTTTCCAAGACATTCTGTAAATAATTCTTTTCAGATTATCCCTGAAGAAAAAGAACACTCTCTAAAATGTCATTTCAATAAATACTTCTGACATGGCGTCTCCTATGAAATTCATTAATATTTGTGGTCAATAAGGTCTTTTCCACAGAGTTCATTTCCACATTACAAATCATCTTCAGGAATCATCACAGGGGTCTGATTCAGATCTGTTTTAGATTGAAATTGCATTATATATACCAGTGCTTCTCAACCTTGGCACTTCAAGATGTTTGCACTTCAACCCCCAATTCAGTGCATTATATACATTATATATACAAGGGTTAAATTATATGTAATCTCTATATCTCTCTGTCTCTCTCTCTTTGTCTCTCTCTCTCTGTCTTTCTCTTTCAGTATCTATCTATCTATCTATCTATCTATCTATCTATCTATCTATCTATCTATCTATCTATCTATCTATCTATCTATCTATCTATATTAAAACCAATAAATAAGCGTGAGCATCAGGGAGTGCAATAAAATAATTTAATGTTAAAATACCTAAAAATGCCTAGCTTTCGCCGGCATCTGCCGGCATCATCAGGGCCTTACAATGCCGGTCAGTGGGAGAGTTACTTTTATAAATTAGCTAGGATATGCGCACGGCTCTTAGCCCTCGTCATCGGGCCAGACATGGTTGAATATGTTCCAGGCGCCAATTTCCTATTAGTAATCAGTTCTCTCCTGCGCCTCCCACTCGTGCAGACGACATCCGAGGGCTTTTCTTCCTTGGGGCCGGGTGTGGGTATGGGTAGGGTGCCTCCTTTCTTACACACAACTCCCTCCTCTATATTTCTTCTTGGTCTACTCGTATTACCCTCTTGCCTTCCCCCTCCAACCTGTTCAAGGGTGCCTCCTTTCTTACACACAACTCCCTCCTCTATATTTCTTCTATCTATCTATCTATCTATCTATCTATCTATCTATCTATCTATCTATCTATCTATCTATCTATCTATCTATCTATCTATCTATCTATCTATCTATCTATCTATCATCTCCCTCCCTCCCTCCCTCCCTCTCTCTTTCTCTCTCTCTCTCCACCAGATCTAAATTGCATTGTATCTACCAGTGTTCCTCAACCGTGGCCATCTGAAGATATGTGGACTTCATCTCCCAGTATTCCCCAGCCAATCACACATGTATTCTACACACCCATGTATTCTAAATATTGTCTTGTTTTGCTAATGTGATGTTTTTATTGCAATTTACACTATTTCAGTATTCTTTCTCATTGGGGGCGGGGGGCTTTATTTCCCTAGAATGCTTTGCAGTTCATTAAACAATACTGGAAAATGCACGGCCGTCCTTTATTCCTTGTGCTCATTCGAGAGGACAATATAAGGTAAGACGTCGTCCACCGAAACATGCACGTAAGATTCCCAATGCTGGGACATTTGAAAAGTTTGCAATATAAAAACCTTGTTTTATTTTTGTTTTTTTTTTACCTCAGGGGAAGTAGATTCAACCCCATACTAGACATGCTCGCCTCGTTTAAGAACGGTGTGGTCGGTGGCGTGAAGGTTCGCGTTGATAGGCTGCAGGTATAATTGTCTTTTCATTGATGCATGGCATAAAACGTGGCTTATAAGTATTTCAGGTAATCCGCAGGTATGAACGTGTCTTATTTCTGAATGAAATTAATATGTTTTTTTAAACAAATCAGAAGACTTGGGGTGGAAAATTGGAACTTTGATGTTACATATGTTGATGGCAGCGAGATTACTTTATGCACAAAAAATGGAAGGACACTTTGATTCCCACAATGGGCGAATGGTTGCAAAAGTTGATGGAGTTAGCAGAGATGGCTAAATTGACTGCTTTGATAAAAGAAAAAAACACAATTCTTTTTGTTTCTACTTGGAAACTCCTTCTGGGCTTTGTGCTTGAGGTAGAAGAAAAAATAAAGCTTTGATTTTGGGTTTTACTGATCAGATAGATCTGTTGTTCTAGAAATGGCTAGTTTATAGCATGATGTAAAAGTAAAGAGCTGAAGTTTGATGTTACTATTTTATTCTACTGCACCAAAGGGAGTCGGAAGTCAGTGGCTTTTTTTTTTCTTTTTCCCTTCTTTTCTACACTTTTTCCTTCCCTTTTCCCTCCCCTATTTTTCCTATTATTTGCTTTTGTATTTTCGTATTTTATATTATAAACCAGGGGTGTCAAACTCAATTTCATTGAGGGCCGCATCAGCATTGCGGTTGCCCTTAGGGGGCCGGGTGGGTGTGGCCAGGGTGGGTGCAGCCTACTGGGTGGGCGTGGATGGAGTGGATGTGGCCTACTGGATGGGTATGGCCAGCTCTACATCGTTCATGTCAAGGGTGCCTGTGGGGGCCTGGGCAGGAGTGGGGCAGATCTGAGGGTCTTTGGCAAAAGGGGGTGGGACCAGGGCAAGTGCCAAGGCATGGTCCACTGGAGGAGTCTCACTGTTCCTCTCAAGCCATGCAGGGGGGGGCTTATGGAGCTAAAACTGAATGCGTTTCAGCATAAATGGCCACCACAAAATTGTACATTGGCTCCCAGCTGGCCTGGGCCAGGGCCAAGGCAGAGGAGGCCATTCCCTCACTGTTTCCAGGATGGCTTCGTGGGCCACATGAAACCACTTCACGGGCCGCATCCATGTTTGACATGTCTGTTATAAACTAATAAAAAAAGAAAATTCTAAAATAATAATAATAATCATCGAAAAATCGGGTCACCTGTGAACTCGCCCAGTTATGCTGCATTCATTAAACCATGGTTAGCTGGTTTAATGCAATGTATTAAACATACATAAAACTTCTTTATGTGTGTGAATGGTTCCATGCAATGTATGAATCCAGTCCTTGTCTTCAAAATCCTGCTGGATCAATTCCAAAACTTCTTATTCCTTGCCAGTTTTAGGGGTTCAGTTCCATGCAACGAGGAGCAGATTGTCAGTGATGACAACTGATAGAATGCAGCTTCTGTTTGGAAAATGTTTGGTTCACCAGTGTTGTGTTTCTTTCTTGTTTTTAAAAGTGTATCTTAAGCCCTTAATAAAAAATGGTTGCCAGAAGCTTTAGCATCTAGATAGACTGCTGGAGCCATTCTGGTATTTTCAACCTGACCTATATGCAATTATTTCTCAGATTTAAATAATGCAACATTTTCTTTTGTTAAGGCTTGAGCATTAATTTCCTAAATTACTCCACTGTTGTATTCTTGGATATCGTCCATTTCATTATAGAAAGAGGAAAAATTGAAACAGTGAGATTATGATATGCTAATAATGCATTATCTATTAGAGGGAATATATGTTCATGTTCATAATTTACTTGCAGTTTCTGAATATGTATGCAGAGAGTTAGGCTTTTAGACATTAATTCATGGAAGAGTTATATAATTTTGCATAAAAATACTTTCCATTGTGGTCGTAAAACTACAGTTTCCAGGCTTGGCTAGAATATTTTTCCCATTTATGGGTCATAATACACTTATTACAATTTGTGCTCAGATATACAAGATAAACGGGGAATATAAAGATCAGGATAAAACATGTAAATCAAATTATGACAGCGAGGCAGTTGTTCCCATTGTGGCTGCGTAGATTTCTTGATATATTTTGCTATATAAATGAAAAGTTACTCTAACCTTGTCGCTATTAGTTTTTCCTCACCAGTGTGAGACCCTTTTTCGTGGAAAAGCTTAACATTGATTCAGCGTAATCTGTTTTCCCCTCAGAGATATATTTGAATATTCAGAGGATTAATAGCAGATAATATGTAAACCTGATAAAATATTAATAAGAAAAAGTGCAACTTTGGTTCTCCAGCAAAGCATAAAATATTTGGGTAGGAAATGGAATTGGACGGTTGGGGGGGAAAGACAGAAACCTAATCCTTCTTTCTCCCTCTGCATTAAAAATCCTGAAAAAAGGGCTGGAAACGTACTAGAAACAGTTGCTTAGAATAATAAATAAACAAGAAAACTATTTTTCTTGCCTTATCTGGAAGCTAATCTTACACGGTAATGTTTTTCCACAGCCAGCCTTGTTTTGTGCAAGAAATATTATCTTTATGGGATCACATATACACTCCTCCCTCCCTCTATTTGTCTCTCTCTAGTACCTGGCTGACTATTTCATCCATCCATCCATCCATCCATCCATCCATCCATCCATCCATCCATCCATCCACAGTTGTGTTTTTAAAAGCAGTTTGCAGTGCTATGCTTTATTACAGCAAACTCTGGATTTCTCATATTTCTCCTAACTTTTGTTTTTGTCTTCCATTTCTCTTCTCTATTCTATTTCAGACATTAATCTCTGGAGCAGTGGTCGAACAATTGGATTTCTTAAGAATCAGCGACACAGAGGAGTACGTATACCTGAAATTATATTAAAACAATAGCTTCATGCATCTGCGATGGGCTTCCTAGATCATTTTTCTTAGTTCAGCGTCATGTTAGAGAGGGGGATCCTGAAAGCATCCGTTAGATCAGGGGTGTCAAACTCAATCTCATTGAAGGCCGCATCAGCATTGCGGTTGCCCTTGGGGGGCTGGGTGGGTGTGGCCAGGGTGGGTGTGGCCTACTGGGTGGCCATGGATGGAGTGGGTGTGGCCTACTGGGTGGGCCTGGCCAGCTCTACATCGTTTGCGTCAAGGGTGCCTGTGGGGGCCTGGGCAGGAGTGGGACAAATCTGAGGGTCTCTGGCAGAAGGGGGTGGGACCAGGGCAAGCGCCAAGGCATGGTCCATTTCTTCATTCCTCACAAAGGGTGACACCTCCCCAGCATGCACCCGGGGGTGGGGCCGATGCGGCAGGACCTGGTTCCTCGCTGGTTCCAGACGGCCTTCTGGAGCTAAGACTGAATGCGTTTCAGCATAGATGGCTACCACAAAATTGTACATTGGCTCCCGGCCGGCCTGGGCCAGGGCCAAGGCAGCGGGGGCCGTTCCCTCACTGTTTCCAGGATGGCTTCGCGGGCCACATGAAACCACGTCGCGGGCCACATCCGGCCCCCGGGCCTTGGTTTTGACATGTCTGCGTTAGGTTTTTTTTTTCAGGCTTCAAAATTTCTTTCCGCAGGCCTCCAGAATTTAAGAGTTTTGAAGAACTGGAGCTTCCAAAACATTCAAAAGTCAAGAGGCAAACCAGCACACCAAACGCCACTGAGTTAGAACAGCAGCCAGATATTAATCATAACGACTGGAAAAACAAGCCCATTCACGAGATACTTCAGAAACTGAATGTGAGTTTCTAAATGCTTGATCTATGGTATCTAGGGAAGAAATGCATCCCAGCCATGAATCATTTCCAGACATCACCCTTTTGTCTTTTTTTAAAAAACTGGCAAAATGTACCAAAGCGTGGGCATCTGGGAAAGGAGGCAAATGTGTTTTAATATTGCAACACACTTACCTGTGTTAGGTATCAGGACACAAGTACATCATGGCAGCATTTGCACAATGATAGTGTTGCACGTTCCATAATGTTTGGGAGAACCACACGTGTCTCTGCTAACCTTTTTCCATTTGTTGATTGTTCCTGACAGGACTGCAGCTGCATCGCCAGCCAGATAATCCTGTTGAGCATTTTGCTCAAGAGGGAAGGCCCAAATTTTCTCACCAAGGAAGGTAGGGTGATGGGACCTCTTTTGCTTATCTCTTAACGGAACATGAACAGCGCACAAGCAGCGCACAAGGGCCGTTGCTCTCTTGCTCTCCATTTTAAAAACACCGAGGGTGCGTGCCAGAGAACGGAAGGAACCGGTTCCCGCAGTAACTCTTTGAAATCCAGATAGTCCTCGACTTAACGACCCCAAGGGGGGATGGGAATTTCCTTCGCTAGCAGGTGCTGCTTGTTCAGCAAGTCTCACTCAATCTTACAACCCCCTTTGCCATGGTCTTTAAGTGAATCCCAGGGTTGTTAAGCAAATCCTGCTTCCCCCAACTGAATTTACATGCCAGAAGCTGGCTGGGAAGGTTGGAGATGGCAGTCACATGACCCTGAGATGCTGCAACTGTCAAAAATATACACCCCTTGCCAGGGGCCCAAATCACGATCACGTGACCGTGTGGATTCTGCGAGAGGTTAGGGTTAGGGATTCTGCAAGAGTTGTAAATGTGAAACTGGTCCTAACTCCCTTTTTTCAGGACCCTTGTAACTTCAAACAGTCGCTCAATGAACAGTCATAAGTCAAGGACCACCTGTAGCTTGTGTGCTATTGATGGCCTGCCTACAGTTCCATATAATAATAATGATAATAGCAACAATAATGATGATGATGATGATGATAATAATAATAATAAAGTTGAAAGGGACCTTGGAAGTCATCTAGTCCAACCCCCTGCTCAGGCAGGAAACCCTATACCATTTCAGACAAATGGCTGTCCAGTCTCTTCTTAAAAACTTCCAGTGATGGAGCATTCACAGCTTCTGGAGGCAAGTCGTTCCACTGGTTAATTGTTCTAACTGTCAGGAAATTTCTTCTTAGTTCTAGGTTGCTTCTCTCCTTGATTAGTTTCTTCTTATCCCGTTGCTTCTTGTCCTGCCTTCAGGCGCTTTGGAGAATAGCTTGACTCCCTCTTATTTATGGCAGCACACCAATATAAACCATTGGTTTGTCTTGTATCTTACTTACCTGTTAACATTAAGCGTTGCAGCACACCTATTGCAGAAAACAGTGATTTAATAGAGTAGGGTAATATTCCCATTTGGTTTGTTACAGCCCCATCCATTTAAAAAATACGTCCCTTGGAATTTTTTAAATGTTCAAGGGCTTCATTTTAAAAAACCATCCTCAATTTGCTAATGAAAGCGTAAATCCTTATACCGCCAAAAACAGCCTTATCAAAACAGGCACCTTGCTCCATTCGTGTATTCCATTTACTTTGCTTTATTCGTACTTCAAAGCCTTGTTTGTGTATTCTAATTTGGGAACAACGGCTTCCCCACATTGTAGTGCTATAAGAAGGACTTGTTTTGTCGTTGTTCTGAGCATTACGTAATAAATAATGAATCTCTACAGAAGGATTAGAGCCAAATTTGTGTGCTGGGATTCATAGCGTTTCAATAATTCTTCACAGCTGTTTGCTCCTGTTTGGGGCTAATCTACCAAGTTCCAGCAAAGTCACTCTCGTGGCCCAGTTTTTGTTGTTGTTGCTGTTGTTGTTTTTAAAAAAAGCAATACAAAGAAGAGCTTAGGAGAACCCAGCTAGCACATAAGCACAAAGCAGCCACACGACAACATTATTTGAAACCCCGGTATACATTTTAATGCTGGAATGGTAGTTTTTCAGCTGGAATCAAATTATGTAAGTGCAGGCTAGTTTATATGCTGTCAGGGTAGCGCTGCAGGTTACAATTGCTGAAGAAAAAAAACAGGGTACAACTGTTGATTTCTGCCAGAAACCTGAAGTGTTGAAATAAAATATCTATATCTGCTTAAATATTTGCATAAACCTGTGTGGGAAAGTAATGCTCGTTTTCTGTTTCTCACAGCAGGAATAGTTGGTAATGTTGCCATTAACCTTTGCAATAAGATAAGCTGATAACGCAGAATCTCCTAAACACACAGCTGCAGCAAAATCATACTGTTTCCTTCTGTTTTTTTGTCTTTTTCCCTTTTATGTACAAATTAGGTACCGTCTCTGATCAAATCGAAAGAATCTACCGAAAAGCTGGCAGCAAAAAGCTCTGGTTTGTATACATTACTTTCCAGTTTCATGTTAGGTTTTTCAGCTGCAGTTCTGTGCTGATTTTTGGCAGTTTGAGTCGGTATACACCTACTGATTTTGCAAAAAGCCATGTCCCCTGAAATTCAGAATCATATATCTAACTGTGCCACTACTGGCTCTATGAATCAGTGTTTAATTTCTAAAAAGGAAGGAGGGGCCTCTTACCTGCAAACTTTTCATCTGGGGTAAAACCACCTGCATTTACTTATAGATTTGCGAATCTCATCTTCATTAACTACAGAATGGAGTTAGGACTAGAACATAGCCCAGTTAGGACTATGAACATAGCCCATAGTCCAGCCTTAGCAACTTTATGACCTATGGATTCAACCTCCAGCATGGCTGGCTGGGTAATTCTGGGAGTTGAAGTCCACAGGTCTTAAAGTTGCCAAGGTTGGGCAACCTTGATATAGACCCACCAGGCCTTGCTGAGTAGCATCTTTGCTAAGGATTCACTCTCTGAGTGGCAATACAGAGTAAGAGAGCACAAACTGTTGAAACAGGCATTATTTTTATTACACATGTGCTGTGAGGGTGCTATTAAAAATACATGTTAACTGCAACAATGTGGATATTATTCATTTGATGAATTTATCCTATTGCTCTGGAAACTAGTCATCTATCAAATTACATTTACTAAATGTTAAACAGTTACATTATTTTGAAAATCTTTGCTTCCCATCCGGTTAGGTTCTCTTTGATGCCTTGCTTTTCCTATCAGTGGGCCACTTCTACCGTCTGTACAATTGTACAATGAGGTGTATTGAGAAACATAATGTCCATGTAACAATACACTGACCCAATTTTGCCCTTGGGCTTTGATTAGGTTTCTTGGGCGTATCTCCTGCTCTCCTCCTGCAGGTGTATCAGAAACTGTATGTTGCAATCTTTGCGTAACTGTTTTGGTCTCAGGACAGAATGGAACTGACCAAGGTTGTAAGAATGGTTCTGTTGGATTAGTATTCTGTTTACAACAGCCAATCCATTGTTTCTGGGAAAGAAATACTTTCTCTGCTCATTGTGTCAGAGCTCTCCTAGGTTGATGCAAGACCCAAGCAACCAGATCCATACATGTAGAGTTCAAGCAAATTACTTTATTGTATTCTGCCTATAATACAGGAATCTCCCGACTGCTTGCCTTCCCTTGGGAACAGATCCATAAAGTTCCATGGAGTTTAGGGTGGGGGGGGAATCTGTTGCTGTGCAACAATTCAAGACTAATTCCATGCTTTAGCCCTCCTTCCTGCCTGGCTGGGCATTTCCCAGCATCAAATGTTCTACCTGCCTTTAGTGACAACGCCCTTTATTGATGACCATTAATCATGCTGGCTCGGATTGAACCTCCAAACCATCTTGAAGGAGTCAGATTAGGGCGGCCTCTTCTCATCCCTCAAACAGTAAGCGAATAAATAAACTACCGGTGAATCCCGTCGTAGCGGATTCTCTAATTGTACAGCAGTACCTTGGTCCTTGTTGGTAATTCACTCCAGAAGACTCACCAAATGCTAAAACCGACGGGTGGCGAGAAAACCACGTGACCCGCTATTTCGGCCAGAAGAAATAGCAGGTCACGAGGCAGCCAACATCAGCAAGTTCTTCCTTGCATGTTGACTACTGGGAGAAAAATGAGCGCTGGGACAAGATTCCTGCTTCAAAACGTGTCGAATATTGAATTCGGCGAGTTTTGAAGCAATCGAGCGCCGAGGTATGACTATGTACGTGAAGATATATTGCAGGACTCGTTTGGCAAATCCAGAGTCCTCCAATTTCTGGTTCACACTGAGCAGCTCTCGTCCACGGCAGCCAGTCTAAACTAGCGTTCAGAATGCATGGGCTACCAAGAGGATCTTGTTTAGAGTAGGTGTGGAGATCATTGCCCTTTGAACCCCCTCTGTTGTGTATCAACTCCAGGTTGGTGCTTCGCTGCAGCGCGGCATGCATTCAGAAATTTGCTGCCTCTCTAGCTCCCCATATTACAACTTTGGTAGTCCATGGGAAACAGGTAAAGCGCACCCAGGTTTGAAACGGTTCTGCTTGAGATGTGCAGCTCATTTGCATTTTGATGGTATCTGTTCGTGGTGTTTTGCCAAAAAAAGAGAAAGGGGGGGGGTGAAAGAGCTTTGCACTTGATTTTAAAGAGTGTGTGCACCCATTGTCATCAAATTCAAAATCAATTTGGCTGATGGATTTTGTGCTAACTTAGCAGACTATCACACACTCATTCATTTAATTCGGATACATTATTGTGCCGCTTCCAACGTCTGTTGTGTTAGACAGGGTGGAGTGTCCAGTCCTTTGTTTCCTAGAGTAATAGCTGTATATTAAAAACCAGTCACTTTGGAAAGCTTCGACCTGTTTTTAATCCTAGCATTTTATGCGCTCTCCTTTTCTTTAAGCGCATTCACACATACACACCCAAGCTCCGGGAAGGAGAAAAACAATCCTTCCGTTGCCATTTTTGCTGAGATTGGTTATCTGTGCTGGATCTTTTGTATAAAAATAGTGCATTAATTCCTGTAAGGTATATAGATAGCCAGGGAGACAAATAAACAACTTACTGATTCTGGGGAGCAGTGCTATCCTCCAAATTTTGGAGTGTCTTTAGAAGAGGCAGGGAAAACAAAGAATAATTTCTGAATTCCTTTTTTCCCCCCACATTAAACAGCAAAGCTCCTTTCATGCACAAATCCTGATAAATTTGCAAATATAAGAAGGGGTGCGGACAATGTGCATGTAGGATATTCTTTTCTTTTCTGCTCTTTCCTGTTCTGTTCTTTCCTTCTTCCCAATCTTCTCCTTCAGGTGCCCCTCCAAAATGATTATAACCTCGAAGGAAAATGGGATCACGAGGACAGACAAAAAAAGTCCTGCCATTCTCTTAATTATGTTCTTTATTTCAGTCAAGCATTTGCTTCCTGATATCTAAAGTTATGTAGTTCAGCAACAGATGGATGGATACATGAATGGATGGATCTGTCTGCTAGCAGAAGCTCATTTTGTTCATTCTAAGAAGGAGAGATTAACCACCATCATTTAATATGGCCCTGATATTTTAGGCATTTGCACTGATCAAATACTTGTCTAGTCACTTGAAATTTTCATCGTGTGTCGGCTGCCTCTCCAAACTTAGCTTTTCATCCTTATTTATCGGAAAGTAAATTTGTATGTTATGATCTCACTGCCATCTGTGTCCATCATTTAATTTTTGGCGATTGGCTGAAAGAGGCTGTTCAAAAATTATTGACTGCCTAGGAAGAGAGGGATATTGAATGTTTTGTTTTCAGGAATTGTGCCAATGGATGCTAAATAACTTTTGTGAGTTTTTGCCCCTTTCCCGTACAAACAGAAAACCATGGGACTTTTGCTTTTGCAGGGAGTTTCTCAAGAAAATGGAAGTCTTTGATTTCCCAGTCATAAATAAAACAGTACAGTTTGATGGGAAATCTGATTCCAACAATTCAAACATTTCTGTGAGATTTTTTTTTTAAATGCAGATTGCCAGGGAACTCTAAAGTAATAAAATAAAGGCTCCTTACATGATGTCAATCCTGCCTTGATATCAAGAAAGAACAGCATTTTCTTATAATGTGTGTAGTTGAATGAAGGTTATTCCAGTACAAACCTTAGCATCCTTGCTTCTGTAGTGGAACTGAATTGATTTAGCTGCTGCCCCACCATTCTAGACAGAGGTATCTTGGGTCCAAATACCGTACATACAAAGATAAATGTTTAATCGTTGGCCAAAAAACTCTCAGTCAAATTCTTGAATCCATTAAACTAGCCTTTAATTTCCAGCTGGACTGCTTTGTTTTCTACCCTCAGGTCTGTTGTGCGCTTCGCAGCAAGCCTTTTATGTAAGCTAGTGGACAGCCTTGCTCCATCTATTACTAATGTTTTAGTTCAGGGCAAGCAGGTAAGTCTACCTTTTTCAGATTACATTCATCAGGTAAATTTAACACGTAGAATAAAATAGAAAAGGTCCAATCCAGGCAATTGGTGCCCTGTTCAGCCTTGTTATAAGTTTGTAAACCCTTAGACACGGACTTCGCTAAGCGTATCTACAAATGCAGTTGTTTTGGGCAGAGGTTGTCATCTGAAATTTGGTAACCCCTTAAGCGCTTCTAACCAAATTTAGGCAGTGCGTAGCTTTGAGGCCCATGTTGTATTTGACTGAATGGACCACACTGATCAAACTCTATGCTTAGTTCTGGCCAACTAGCATTATCAAGAGCAGTTTTTATAGAGGATTTTTCCATTACAGATATGCAATGCAGTCATTTTTGATAGCCCATTCTGGCCTAGCATGATTTGGCACGTTTTGTCGTCCTTTGCTTTGGCTGTTAGTGTCCTGTCCATCCAGTGTCATCTGTTTGGATCAAAGAACTAGTAATGTGATGCTGCCTGTCCCATCATCGCTATTTAGGAAGTACCGGTAAATTCATTCCCTGTTAACGTTCAGTTCCCTCTGAGAGGTGAAGACCCGCCATCGTGAACAGCAATGATCAGTTAACCCTATCCAAAACTAGACTGGTGAGGGTCACGATTACTTTGAATTAACTTGGAAGATTTGGGACCTACTGAAGCCTTTTCATCTTTCTGAGTGGGACAGATAGCATTATGATTGCCCTGACGTCAAAAGCATGTGAAAAATATACTAGGACGTGTGATTCCTTGCTCATAGTTGGAACTATTGTTGCATTAAAATTTGGAACAGAAAATATTATGAAGTCAGGCACGTAGCCAATAAATACTTGGACGTATAAGCACTTGAATGTGCTCCTGCATCCCTCAGCCTAATCTAAATTGTTACTCTAAAAGCCAACTGTTTTTATTTTCACGCCCTGCTCTTTCCTCCCGTGATCAGAAAGGAACTGAGGATGTATGGGTACACTTTGAGAGGAAGCAACTAAATTTCATTTTTAACGTGTGCCGTTGTGCCCAAAGGAAAAAATGACAATAAATGGTTGTCTAATATAGTTGAAGTTGATGGTTAAGTTAGTCTCCGCTGGTTCAACAGTCTAGAACACGGTTATCAAACTCGCCACGTCACGTGACGTGTCGTGACGTATCACGACTTTTTTCGCATTGCTGGAGCTGGGGTGGGCGCACCCTCCACATGATGCAACTGGCCCGCGGCCGGCAGTTTGACACCCCTGGTCTAGAAGGAGCACTTAAAATCTAGCAGCTCTATGAGCTGTGGAGAACTACTGATGTCCATAAGAAATAACATTTCCCCCTCCAGAGAGGGGACCAGGATAATTTATGTACTATATTATTATGCCTGGCAAGTTTTAATCACAAGAAATAAACAGGAGAGGTCAAAAAATTTTTTTCTGAGCATACACCTCCCAAACCATTACTCTGCCCTTAGGGCCCAAGCTCATTTTTTAAAAAAAGATGCTGCTTTAATAGAAAATAATGGAGACTTGCAAATCTCCATTTACCCATCAGCGCTGATTTTAGTTCACGATTCTATTTACATCCCTTCTATCCAGTCTTGTTGGAAAGCAGGAGATTTAAGTCAAGGAGGTATAATGAATAAGGACTCCCTCATTGCTTCCCTGGTTCAGGTTACACCTCTAATTACTGCTAATATATTCTTTTAGGTGACTCTTGGGGCATTTGGCCAAGAGGAAGAAATTATATCTAATCCCCTGTCTCCAAGCGCAATTAAAGACATCATCTACCACAAGTGCAATTTGCAGGACGAGAGGGAAGCTGTTCTTCAACAGGAACTTGTCATTCATATCGGCTGGATCATCTCCAACTCCCCCGAGTTATTTAATGGCATGCTGAAGATACGTGTGGGGTGAGTAAATCACTCTCTTAACCTGTTTTAAGTTATGTCTGTGAATCCTTTTATCCCACGTGCATAAATTGAGATGCCTGGGCAACAGGTGTCTCCTGAATGCCTCGAGGGAACTTCTAGAGCCTTTCCCAGGTTTTACCGCCAAGTGTTACCGTAAATGTTAATAGGAGACTAGGAGAAAGTTTACTATACGGATAATCATAGTCTGGAGACAAGAGGACTCAGTAGCTAAGAAGCTGAGCTTGTAGTCTGGAAAGCTGACAGCCCAGGTTTGAGACTCAAGTCCCATCTGACGGGGCAAGCTCCTGTTCTAGCAGTTTGAAAGCATGAAAATGCGAGTAGATAAATAGGTATCACTTCCGCAGGAAGGTGACAGCGTATAGTCATGCTGGCCACACGACCACGGAAAATATCTTGGGACAATGCAGGCTCCCTCGACTAAGAAACGGATACGAGCACCGTGTCCTGGAGCTGACAGGTCTCCAAAGATCATGTGTTCTCTGTTTATATCTGCATTCATCTTTTCATCTACGCTAGTTGCCATATTGGTTGCAATTAAAAATGGGATTTTCCATTTCACGCAGAAGCCATGGTTCGCAGCTCATTTAAGGCAAGGCTTCTGCAATATGGGTGCTTTTCCCCTTTGGCTCCAGTAGGAACCACCCAGTTGGGTGATTTGTAGATTTTAGTTTTAATTCTTCAGCTTCTCAGAATCCAAGCTTGGTATATCTGACGGCTATCAGCATGCAAATCAGAGTGATAAGTATGGCTGTTTCAGAGGGCACCCAGCGCATGAGCCCCTCAGTTACAGGTTTGCAAGAGACTCTAAACCAGGGCTTTCCAACCAGTGGTACGGGTACCACTTGTGGTACATTGGCACCTGGCAGGTGGTACGCGACCATCCTAGAAAAGTGGTAGTGGGGGAGGGGAATGAGCTGAACTGGTGGCAGCACTGCACAAGCCTGAGCAAGAGATGGCTGGAGCTGCAGGGCTGTCAGGGCTCAGCGGAAGCGCCAGGATCAGCGCTTCTTCGGGGCTGTCAGGGCTTAGTGGAAGCGCCAGGATCAGTGCCAGGCTCCAGCTGGGCCCAGAAGAAGCACCGATCAGCAGGAATGTTGCAGCATCTCCAGGGTCCTGTGATTTACATTCAGATGCTTGGCAACCGATTCATATTTATGACGGTCACAGTGTCCCAGGCTCATGTGAAGTGACCAAAACCTGCTGCAACCACCCAGCAGACGGGGGGGGGGGGAATAAAAACCAAACACCCCCCACCCCACTCCCGCTGCCAGTCCTCAACAGAAATGCTCACAACAATGAAAACCTCGGACAGGAGGAAGAGCGCGGCCGGGTGAGCAGGCGGGTGTCTTGCTCGGCTGTGGCTTGGGGGGCACTTTTTTCAGTGCCATTGTAATTTCGAACAGTCACTAGCGAACTGTTGTAAGTCGAGGACTACCTGTACTTTATCACTTTTTTCCTTTTTTTTTTTTTTTTGGGTCATCAAATTTTTGACACCTTGCTAGGCGACTGGTGGTACTCGGACGTTGCCATATCCTAAAAGTGGTACAATGGGTGAAAAGGTTGAAAAGCCCTGCTCTAAACAAACCTTTAAAAGGGAGTTCATTTTTTTTTTAAAGTTTGACGGTGCTATATTTTCTGCTTGATAGCTAATTTACCTTCCCACGCTAAATTTAAATCTGCTTCCAGGTGCCTCTTGCGAATGTTCCCCTTGAAATTCTATAAACCTTAATACTGTACAATCAATTTCTGCTTGCCACTCTCTCCATAAATAACCCTACCTCCAAACACCACTTTCGTTATTTGTTCTAGATGAAAAATGCCAACCTTTCCCACTTAAACCAGATATAAAGAACTATGAATTTACCTGCGGCGGCAAAATGGGATGACAGACATTCATATTTTCTAATTTAAATCCATCTTTACAATCTTTTCTTTTTTTCCCTTTGCACGGACATACTCATTAAATCAAATCTTTTTGTTTTACTTGGCTTCTCTGTTGCTAAAAATAGTGTGCCTTTTCTGCAGATAGCCAAGCGTATTTTTGCTTGGTTGGAACTTGGTTTTTTTTTTATTCACTATTAAATCTCATGGTGTACCAATGAGCCACTACTAAATCTGAAGGGTTCTTAGCGCTCTCTGAGCTTGGTTGTTTTCTTGCAGATGTTTTATACAGTGATGGCGAACCTTTTAGAGACCGAGTGCCCAAAAACTGGCCTCGCCCCTGCTCCACCCCCTGCCCCGCCCCCACTCAGCCCCTCCATCTCCTGCCCCGCCTGCCCGCAGGGCCACTCACTGCCTCCAGGGCCCACCGCAGATCGCCCAGGCAGCCCAGCAGCACTATGGTGGTCACGCCCTCTGCCCGCGCCCTGCAGCATCAACTGCACGATGGGGCGTGAGGGCAGAGTCTTGTCTACGCTGCCTGGCTGCCATGTCCTTGGCTGCGCTGCTCCGCATGGGCCACGCTCAGGGGCGACTCTCCTTCAGGGGGGCTGCTGGAGAGGAGAGGGTCGTGGGGGGAGGCGAGGCTGGGGCAATGGCACATGTGCCCACAGAGAGGGCTCCAAGTGCCGCCTCTGGCACCCGTGCCATAGGTTCGCCACCACTGTTTTATTACCTAAACTAGGTAAGATCATCAGGACTAGCACTGGTGATGTTACCTAGTTAGGTAATGAAACATCTGCAAGAAAACAACCCAGCTCAGAGATCACCAAGGATCCCTCATTTCAACCCCATAATTTCTACCAATTATGAAACAGGATTGTTATCGTTCATATTTGTCTATGGAGATTCTCAGTCATCCAGGTCATGGTTGTCCCAACGATGCTTTCTCAAAAGGCAACTGGACTTTCTTGGTTTTTCCTTGAAGGCGTTCCGCTTCTCATCCAGGAAGCTTCTTCATTGAACTGAAGAAGCTTCTCGGAGGAGAAGCTAAACCATATTAATCAGTGACGATGTCCCAGGTGAGTTGGGGTTGGGGTTGAAATTGCAATTAATTTTTCTTAAAGGGAGAAGCAGTAAATCAGGGCCTGAAAGAGTTATTATCTATTACTTGACTCCGTGTTTGACTGTGTTAATAGTGAATTAACTCTGTTTCAGTCGTGCATGTTGGACAAGAGAAATTTGAAAGTTCTCTGCTTCCTTTTTCATAACCACAGATAACTTCACCGTATACTAACAGATCTCCTCGGAGATGCATACACGGACAGGTTGAAGGAAAAAAAGTGAGATTTGATAAATCAGATGAATAGTAATCAAGTCCACGGAGCTTTATGTCCTGATAAATAGGTTTCAAAATTCCTTCCCAACCAGAGCAACAAATGGCAACTTAAAGACCAGGAAATTTATTACCCAATAAGCTTTTATGGACTAGCGTCCATCAGGGGATGAAATATTAGCCTTTTTTTCTGTCATCACGGCTTACTCTTTTTCCCCTGTGCCCACGCACACATGAGCTTAAGCCATAATATTTTTTTTCTTTGAAGTCATTATTTCTGCCTCGATCAAATACACCCCTTTCTCTGGAAATCACTTCCTTGCGTGGACCTGTCCCTGAAGACAGAAAAGAGTTAGCTTTTTGTGAAAGAGCATTTACCTGTCTATTAAGTGAACTTTCTCCTCCTCCGCGTGTCATTTAATTGCTGTTGAGAGATAAACCTTTTCCTTTTACAAGCTGTTTAAAAGCTGCTGTTAGACATCAAATGCTTGCTTGGGTGTTAATGAGCAACGGATGGCGCTTGGGGCATGGGAATTGCTCGGTTGACAGGCACAACACACCTTTGTGTCCCTTGACTTCAGCCATTTTCATACTGGACAGCTTGTTAAGGGGGCTCTTCAGAAGTCTTGTGACTGGCTTGGGGTACCCCTGCTTAAAGGGATCACCTAATGTGGATAAAACATCTGTCTTTATCTTCACACTTAAACTCCGAACATAAATGGACTGATTGTTGAGTATGTAAATGAAAACTCAATCGTCCAGGCCAAAAGTATCTTTTTAAAAAAAGGTAAAACATGGCAACTGAACCAAAATTCATTAAGCTGAGATGTTTCATTACTCATCCTACCTAGTACATGTTACGTTAGAGATTATATTTACATATTGCATTTCATTTTTTTGGGGGGCAACTCCCTGCAGTTGCTATGGCATGAGTTAGTCCATTCCAATGAATCTCCGGTTCTCTGCCTAACCAAATTTTCATTTTGACTGAAGAAGTTACTTGGATAAGTAAAAAAAAAGTCTTAGTTTAATAAATTTTGGTCCAGTTGTCATGATTTAACCTTTTTTTTTAGATAGATTGATTGTAGAGATTTTTAGTCATCATTCTGCCTTATCTTGAGCATGGTTGGGGTCCCCCCCCATTTCACCTTGCTTATTTTACAACATCTTCAATGAACTAAATTCCTGGGTAATAACTGGAAAACAAGCCAGCTGCCCCCAATTAAGATCAGGAACTGTCTCCAGGCGCAGTACACCCTTAATTGCTTTTTAAGATAATGTACATTATTGCGAATTAATTTGGAAATATTAAAGAGTCTCCGATACCATCCTTTTATTAAAATATATAGGCCCGAGATATGCCTGGATGAATGAACAGGAGGAAAGTCCTTTTAGATACAATCAAATACTATTGTAGCCTAGGTTTCGGTTTGCACAACTGCTAATAAGAAGCACCGAGGCAAAGATATTAGAACAGTCTCCAGAGAAGTAGGTGATGTGTGTTTAATTAATGAAATTTTATTGTACTCCCAAATTGCATTTGATTGTTTTAACTTTTATGATCTGGCCTTGAACTGTAATAAAATGTTCATTCATCTGTTTGAAAGATCTCCGGTTGTATCATATTCAGAAGCTTTCTGCCTCCATTATTAGTTGAAAGATGTAGTCATCATGTCTAGTAACCATGAGTAAACACTTTGCGTGAATTAGCCTAACCTCCCTTTTAAATAATCCAGAGATTGGCTGTATCTTGTAGAAACAATGT